TTTATTTTATTTAGTTAGGTACATAACAAAAATGTAATATTTATAGAAAATTACAATTCTGATACAGCTCTAGTATTATAAAATTATTCTATAGAAGAAATATAATTGTTTATGGAAAATGTTATTTGACAGTTACAATTTTGGCAGGTCTTAAATTTCTTATATGCGATTAGTAGAAAATATATCTTGCCAAGATGATATGATGTACAATCCAAAACTATTTTGGCAATTTATAAACCACAGAAGAAAGTCATTTAATTCTACAAATTCTGTTGTGCGTGGTTATTCACATAATATTTTATCAACTTATCTTTTTACATTTCTATTTATGAGATAAATTTCAGGAAAATTTCTTGCAGTTTAAAAAAGTATATAAAAAAGTAATCGACTGCTGCATTTCGAAGATGTAAACAAAATTCTTGTTTTTAATGGAACACTGTATATTTGTTGTTTTTCGGATATCTCTTTTTTTCTAATTACAATACTCAGTAGGGAATTCAATAATTTCATGATCATACCACTTAATTGGTAATCGAGATGAACGGTGCTTTCCAAAGATTTTTAAATGAAGTTATTAAAATATAGGCACAGCTTATTAGAAGAGCGAAAGTACAGAACTTTTGTTTTTTTAATGATAACAATAAGATTATTGCATTCACACCACTTTAGGAAAGTATCAATAACATTTTCGCAATTTATAGTAAGTCGTATCGTATCGCCAGCAACAACATTTGTGTGGAAGTGTCAAAATGTTTATACCATGTCGTTAACATATAACAAATATATTAATGGACTCAGCACGGATCCCTGAGGTACTCCAAAGTTAATATTTCTAGTTATATTATTATATAGATAGTAAATATGTTCATATTATACCGGGTGGGGCATTTATTTTGAAACAAAATAATATCTCGGTTGGACTCGATTTTTTCGTAAAAAGTTTCTGACAAAAATTGGAGGGCACCGAGGGGGCCATTGAAAGGTCCACATTACAAGTTGCGGTCTAGACCAGAAGTGGTGATTTTGGACCAGAAGTTGATTCTTTTACCACGGATTTCGATTGAAAAACGAAAAAATTGTTTATTCTTATTATAAAATATAATAAAAAACAAAAAACAAGAATCTTGAGGATCGCATTTAAAATTTTGAATTTCACCTTCAAACGACCTTGAAGTCAAGATCAAGGTCATTCTCAAGGACATGTCAAGATAACTCCCTTTTGACCATACAACTTTTGTACGAAACATTTAAAAAAAAGCGATCCCAACAAGGCACTCCGTTGTCACAAGATTTTTGTTTTTTTTTTTGTTTTTATGGCATTTTATGGCCAAGAACAAAAAGTTTTTTTTTCGTTTTTCAAACGAAATCCGTGGTAAAAAATAGGTGTATCCATTAAAAAAAACACTTCCGGTCTAGACCGGAAGTCGTAATATGGACCTTTCAATGCCGCCCTCGGTTCCATACAATTTTTGTCTGAATTTTTTTTCGAAATAATCGAGTCCAACCGAGACATTATTTTGTGTCAAGATACATGCCCCACCCAGTATATTTGCCGTAACAGTTTACATAATTTGATTTATTTATTGATCCTCCACAGTGCATAAGTCAAGGTTGCCATGGAATCAGTACGTATTTATACGACCCTTAAATTTATCAAACAGATCTTACATATTTTATTAAGAAAAAAATAGGTACTCTAAAAGAAAATAAATTTTGTAAGTATTAAAATCTACCAAATCATCTTTAACTTTGCATTAACGAATTTCTAAGAATAGTGAAATTTAAAAATAATAATAATTCTATGTAGATTTATACGGAAAATATTATCCCAAACGATTAAACACGTTTTTCTTCAGACATTGTTAATATTATTTACTTGAAACAAGAGAAGCTTTCTGTAGGATGTTTAAATTATGTTTAATATTGAAGACGTTTAATTTTTGGAATAACTGTTTCTCTAGTAAGGTCAGTTTAGTCGGCAAAAACCACTTTAGAGCTTCAGAATTTTAATTTTTTTCACGGTGTAGTTATGTTAAATAAAATATTAATTAAAGAAAAATAACTTTAAAGTAACATAAGTTCATGAGTTTTATAAAAATTGACATAGTAAGATTCACTATATTCATCCAATTGCACTTATTTCAAAAACACCCTGCATGTACCGGATGAACCACCTTAAGTCCTATTTTCTAAGTTAGTCTTGGAATTATGAAGAAACTGTGAATAAAAGTTGTACGAAACTTTTTACATTTTTTCATTCCTTTGTTACAGGATATACTCGTATTTATATTTCATCTATAAAACCCTTGAAAGATCGATACCTGTATTGCATCTCTCTCATAAAGGCTAATAAGTTTCCTAGAAGTTTTATTCCAGCACTTTTTTCGTACGTTGCAAATAGCAAAGAAAATACAGTGTTACATTCATGTTTCAAATGAACCACCCTGTATAAACCTCAATGGAAAATTATATCCTTTATTATATGACTATAAAGTAAAACAAAAACTTTCCAAAATATTAGTTGAGATTATAATATCTTAGATTCGAGTCCTTCCAAAATTTGAGTAAATGAATTTATTTTAATTTAAAATAATCTATACACAGTCATTCAAGAACACAATTATGTTCGATCTTTTACAAAAATAATCAACTATGTCATAAATGTGCCGCCGAAAAAACACCCTGTATGTGAAAAATATACTTTATATATCCCATATCACCAATCAGGTTTTCTTTTGCCTCGCGCACGAAATCAATGTCACAAATTTTAATACACCGAGACCGTAAAGGATTATTAGTTATTTTATCCAGCAATAAAACCACTAATTTGCCATGTCCACATCGGGCTATTAAGTTTATTATACAGCGCTAATTAGTGCAAAGTAAATTCCACTGTTTTTCCTTTATTGTAATCATAAAGTCACCGACTAAAATTTATTACCCAGTAGTTACTTTAAAAACAACAGACGAATAGACAAGTGTTTCATTGCGGCAGTTTTAATGCACATTTTGTTGTAAGTGGGAAGCGGATCTGATATTTATATTCCAGGTCCGGCCTCCGCAAAAACATGCGTCTAAATTACCTAGTACTATATTAGGTGACTTTTGCAATCATTCGAATGAACACATCAATAGGGAATTTTAGTGGGAATATTTTGAAGCGTATTTCTCATTTTTCATCAAAAACGGATTTAAGGGGTTTTGATACTAGAGGACTCAAGTGTAGTATAACCTCAAAATTGACAAAATATGTGAATAATACACTTTTTAATACACTGATAACTGCAGCTTACTCGAAAACATAAAAATCATATTCTTATACCATTTATAATAATTATTTAATTCTTATAAACGAAAAATGCATTTAAAATAAATAAAACTGTAAGTCAAAAGTAAGTCAAATCAATAGTATACGGTTCCATTTAAAATTTTCAACTTGACCTCTAAATGACCTTCAAGGTTATGGTCAAGGTCACCGTTGATTGCTCACTCAAACCCTGCAACTTTTGTCCTAATCATTTTTTTGTTTGAGCAATATTTTCTGAGATAGAGGGGGGGGTTCCAAACTTTTTGAACACCCTGTATATATATATATATTAGACTCATATCTGTGTCTACATCAATAAGAGAACTTATATTCACAATTTCAGATACAGAATATACTTTTAAAAAATGAGTATTAAATCAATTCATCAAAAAAACGTTTATTTTTTGCTGTTATAACAATTTTAGAAAAAATATTTTTCGCTGGATTTACTTTTTTTAAGGTCTTAACTTAATTTTTTGATGGTTTATTAAACAAAAGAAAATTTTTTTTCTACATTATTAAACTATTTAAAAATAAATTTCACGGATTTTTCATGAAATATTTTTATTTTTTGTTACATTTTGTTTTTTCCACTTATTTCAATTTTTTAAGAAAAATAAAGTGCACCATCTTAAAGTAGAGATTTTAAGCTTTAAAAAGTGCTCTCATAAAGTTTCAATATCACATTTACAACTATAGTTTTTGATTTATAAAGTATGGCCTAAAAAGTCAAATTTGTGATTTCTAAAAATTATTGAATATGTTGGGCTCAATATTTTTCAGATTAAATTTTTAAGATTTTTTCCATATCGCTCACTGTTTCAGTCGTCATTTGAAGAGTAATATATGAAAGTTACAGATATTTATTTTAAAAATTAAAAGAATGACAGCTATTTTATTATTATTGTACAAAATTATAGAATGACGTAACTTTGTATAAGTACGTACTATATATTTTTTTTTTTCTCAAGTTTAAAGACTTAAAATTTTGATAGCCGGATGACTCTTCTTTCATTTAAATTTTTGTGAGGTCGATTTGATCAATTAGATAAAAGTTATAACAAATTTAGTGTAGCGCGCTCGGGGCCGCGCGCTCTTGGAGAGAGCTATACTTCGGCCTGCCTGTCTCATTTTTCGTTTTTAGAAAAAAAAATCTGCAGCCTTCAATTCGCATATTAGAAAAAAACTTTATTAACATTTTTTATGTAAAATTTCCTGTTCTTTCGCGCAGTTAATTTTTTTTTAATAATATTTTTTTATATATTTTGCAAAAACTGTAATTTTGCAACTAATTTGTTAAATAAATAATTTATCGTACACTCTACAGTTGGTAACTTTTTATATATTGTTTCTGACAAGTTTACCAAGCGAAAAATAAAAAGTTCTCTCTTCCAGTAATTTTCCCGAAGTGAAAAATCTATCTTGACTCCACTAAATGAACTGAACAATTTTCATATGGGAGTTATTCCCGTGTACTCATTAAAATGGGTCAAGTGGTGTAAGGAAGGAATAATACAAAATTAGCTCGCCACAAAGGAAACACTTTTAGTCCTAATATAATATACTATTTTTGTGCTTTGTTTTGAAAAATGTTTATTTATTACCCACAAGCGAAACTTAAAAGGAAAACACGCTTCCATTTACACCATATATTCCTGTTTAACAACTCACTGATACATTTTTCTGGTTTCAGGTGGATCTAAGTACCTAATCAACCGAATTATTAGTTTAGAAGAGCTGTTGTGATCGAACCTTTTTTTCTGCAGGTATAAAGTGAATGTTCCATATTTCCGACTCAGATGTCCGTCGCTAACCTGTATATTCGTCCTAGTAGCAACAATAACACTCTTGTAATATTTGTAGCAATAAAAATATGTATGGTGCATTTATTAAAAACGAAAAAAAAATATGAACATGTAAATAGTACCTGTTTTGCTACAAAAATTTGGTAATGTTTAAGGATGAATGGTCCATAGTAGTTCACAGTCTTTGCTGCTAAAAAGGTGTCGTTACTGTTTTAAGGATTTTTTGTACTTTGTTCTAAAGTTAGTTTACTGTTGGATATATTGCTATAGATGACTAAAATATATTTTTTCCTTGTACAAATGTTAGATGTAAGTTTAGGAATTTGTCAAAGAGAACCGATGCCATGTTATTATTTTAGGGATGTGGTCTGACTTATGACCTTGTGATAATAATAAACTTAATAACAAGTGATTTTATTGTAAAAGTTGAAACGAATTATTATGTATAGGTCGATACGCCTCGCTAGGACTGCCATGTCGAACATTCAACATTCTGTTAACTGTCAAATCTATATCAGGAAAAATGTATAGGTACACTAACATCAGGTAGTGCTTTAGGAAGTTTTCTTTAAACTATAGAAGTTACTACTAGGGAAAGGTAGAAGGGAAAACATAACGACATCAAGTTATAGATAACACATTACATCTTCAGCAACATCCTCATCAATATCTTCATCAAATCGCATAAAAAAAGTTATTAGTTCCACTTTTTAGTTTTCTGAATTACCAAAAAACACCCATAAAATCTAAACAACAAACGTAGGCTCCTCCATTAGCACAGGTCTTCAAATAAGAGGACTCATCACTCATCATATAATTGTGAATGAGTCCAAAATGTTGAGTCGGTTATAAAACTAAATTTAAACTTTTTTAACACTCTTTTACATTTGAATAATCTCTGTATCTTTAATATTTAACGGTAACTACTGGAAAATAATACTGAAATTCACTGTACTGATTTATATGTAATTTTATAACCGAGTTGATTTTCAAATCTCATCTGCCTTCAAAGATGTCAGATATACCATGACTGCAGGTAGACTCCTCTACATAGCCACATCCAAAGAGAAAAATTGTTGCGATTTCTGCTACCCGACAAGAAACTGGAGAGCTACAGGACTGATGTCAGGGGTTTGTATGTCAGGGAGAGAGGTATAGGGTATTAAGTACTCTATAAATTTGTGGTTTGAGTTTATGAGCTGGAATCAGCTAATGTAGAATTTTGGTTGATTTTTGAAGCTGCGTGATTGCAAAGGTTGATTGTTTTTGAATACCAAAAACATATAATGTATCCTACGAATATGGTGCGTTGATTGGCTGCTTTTTAAGTTTTGAGGGTGATTTTTGGTAATTTAAAGAAAAGATGAAGAGCGGTGGAGTATTTCCGATGACATACTCGATTTCTGGGGATCCAAATAGGGTGGTGTGGGTTTCATTTGTGGATCAAACTTCTTTATGTGCCTGAGTAATCTTCAAAACGAGGATCTGTATATATCCATCCATCATGTAAGTTTATCATATTCTGACCTTTTTAATAGCATTGTTTATTGAATAATCTTCAAACGTATGAAGTCATAGCTGGAATTTGGTAAGACCCTTGCCCTACCTTTTGCATTTGTCCAGATTTATTAACGTTTTTTGCATATCGACAGTTTTTTAAGAAACAGATCATCGCTTCAAAAATATCTGGGTTTAGTAAAATACAGGAAAATAAAAAAACACATGGTTATCTCCAACTACTTTTCTTATAAGTTCATACCAATATGTCATTGACTCTTACTCTAGAACTAACGCTTTTAAGGTCACAGTTGAATTTAACATTCTTCACTCAGACTGGATTCTTTTTAAAGGCTAGTAACTCTGATTTTAAAACACATGTTTCTTAATGCAATTCGATTTTCTTCAGACACACTACGTTGTGTGACATTTGTTTTCCTAAACCACTGCCAATAATTCTTTTGTCACTTTCCAAATCTGACAATTTTTGGCGTACTTCTTCAACCAACATATCGACCAACTTAGGGCAACGACATTTTTGTTAATAATATTACTACGCCATAATCTTTATTTGGCTATTTTATTTTATAATTTGATTCTGCATTGTCCAAACCTGCTATAGTTTCAAAGCGCATTTCACATTTGCGAAATAAGTTTTTTTCTAACTTCTTAGACTTGGTGGGCCTGGCGTCGCGTACAATTATAAATAGTGCAGTCATACATTGATACGCACATTTTGTTGTTGTAGGTGTGTAATTCTAGAAGTTATTTATGATATATATTTAATCATAACTAAGTAGGATGTACGGCAATAAAGTTTAAGTCCATTATAAATATAGTGTAAGCATGGTACGTCTTAAGTGTATAGTTCAATATAATAGTTATGTTTACAGATCCTTATATATCCTTTATCCCTAGTCTCCAACTTTGTTTCAGTATTCTTTTCAACAATAAGACTCGTCTAAGTCGTTTGTAAACGAAGTGTTGTAATATTGTGTTTGCACTTATCAGACCAATGCAGGTAGGTAAGTACAGAGGGTGTTCAGTAAAGAATGGGCTAACCTACTTGGATAAAAATGAGGTGAATTAAGTAATGTAATTTTCCAAAAATATCTGTCCTTAACAAAAATCTGAACGGGATAATATAGTGACACAGGAGCTCAGAACGCCCTATACATTTAACGCAAAAAACAAGCAGATACTTGGGTTTATCACACAAAGAACCTTGTTATGCAAAATTCGAGTACAACTATCCAAAAAATAAATAAATTATCTTAAAAAAAATACAATAAAAAAGACTTATTTTTGTCAAAGGAAGTTAGCCTAAAAATGTGGCCTACTCTTTAATGAACACCTTGTATACCGATGTTTCTATTAAAGACGGGCTCTTCTGGGGCTCTGATAATGTCAGTAATACAAAAATGTGTTGCATTACATTAAATCATTTTTTTATCGGGATGAAACTATGGACATCATTAAATAAATTACACATATTTTGAAGGAGCCAATACATACTAATATTAGTTCTAATTCAGCGAAGATACAGTTTCTTTTATTATTTATTATTAAGTGCTCAGTGAATTGGCTCAGTGAATTTAAAAAAATTTAATATTTTAACTGTTGTATCTTTATTTATCTTGTCCATATATGTTTTTTAGGAATAAGTCCACTTTTAAATTAAATGAAACCATAGACAATAAAAGCACTAGCACTAGCAAAATAATAAATTTCACATTATCTTTTGTAAATATAAAGTGTCTTGTGATTCCCGTTTTATTTAGGTTTAAATGTTTTTAATAAACCGCTTTCTGAGATAAAGAACTCAAATTATATCATATTTTTTAAGAAAAAGATCCACAAATATTTAATAAGAAATACATTTTATACTTTAATAAATTTTTTGTTTCCTAAAGTGGCTAATAGATAGTGCCCCATTTGAAAAAATTAAGTTAGGTAACGCCCAGAAAAAATGGCACCCCTGTATAACTGGAAATAGTGTTCAGATGTGAAGAAATTAATTCGGTGCAAGTTTTATTTGATACACATTTTTATTATTAATATTTTCAATGAAAGAATTGTCTTAAATGCAACACCATGTATATTTAGGGAAGAAATTTACACAACCATGAGAAAACTCGAAGGAATAACTAAAAAAGATTGTAAAACTATTATTATTGTACAAGATGGAACACTATGGCTAAGTATAAATTATAGTTTAGTTCCAACAGTTTTACTTAGTTTGCCAGCGAGGGAACAAAAAATTATTTATTAGGAATGAATTCTACTGAAACATCATCTCAAAAGTTTTTTGTGTCATTTTATGACAGTGCCAAAATCGTGATTTTTGACATTATATTTACTATTTAAAACGAACTAGGATTTACCCCGATATCATTTTTCGTCTTTGAGAAATGGCATGTTGAAATTTAGTAGTTTGACTTATTAGCTGGATAAATCCAAATGCGTTTTAAAGAGTAAGTATAGTACTTTATGAATGGTTTCAGCAAAAAAATTTTCCTTTCCAAGTAACATAACCTCAAACTTTTTTTTACTTATATTCTGGAACCTATGCATTTTGGAAGGATATTGAAGATGAAAAAAGTTTTAGAATTGAATTTTGCACAATATACTGCAAGTTAAAAATGTTTAAATTTATTACCGATGTTGCAAAATAGCAATAGTTGATGAAAAAAAGGCAAAATAATCAAGTATTTTGGATAATTTTTTAAAAATATTTTGATTTCTGGTAAAAAAAACTTTAGAATATAATAAAACAACACACCAAATTTCATTAAAATCGGTTCTATAGTTTCCACAAAACAATTTTTTTAAACGAATTTTTCGAATTTTGAAAATATTTTTACAGAAAAGTCGGCTCATCCTTTCAAATGGTTTTTGAAAAATTGAAATCCGTTGATTAGGACGGCCACAGTAAATTTTTAAAGTTAACACTCTTTTTTTTTATTTTTAAACAATTAGATTACATTTATCAGTTTGCAATTTATTTTTTCTCAAAAATTATAATTTTGAAGTACTATTTTTTCTTAATTTTATCTGTATTTAACAAAAAAAAAATAATTTCCAAATAATTTTTTTTATTTGTTTAAACAAAAATTATTTAAATAATTGTAATAATTATAACTAAATATATTCATATTCAGACTGTTGAAATGTACAGACTGTGACAAATTCGCTTCTCACTATAGGGATCTAGCAAACGGTAAAAGGTACGAAGTAGCTTAAATGGGGGCAAAGTTGCGTTATCAGGGGACAAATATCATGCCTCTAAAAAATTATCTTATTTCTTTATCTAATCTTTATCTAATTGTATATTGCTATGACCAGTATCATAATTAAATTAATTCGTTAGTAAGTGTATTGAGATTAATAGTAATGTAAGTATTTCTTGCTCAATATTTTCTTTTTGTTTATATGAACATATAGAAATTGTAAATCGTGTTTGCACTATAATTGTGAATATTTAAGTTGAGACTAAACTTACAAATACCCTAGCCTTCCTCTAGTGACTCCGTGTAGCGATACGGGACGGATTAGTCGATTTCATTTTTTAATATATCCTTATAGCTTGGAAAATCCGCCAAAAAAAAACAGCTATTTTACTTATTACTTTCTTGTCCTCACAACATTCTAACAACTTATTCTTGGAATTCCTACGTTCTTTGGAATGCATTTCGCGCGTTATTTGAAATATCGATTTTTCTTTTTATACCTGTTCAACACATGGCCCCGACAGTTTAAGTGAACTTGTAAAAAAATATTGCTAAATTTCGTGAAACCTTCCCCGAAGGACGGTCTTGGCGACGTTAAACGTACTTGAGAGCCCTCAACTTTCGATAATTTGTGTTGACTGAAATATTTTACTTTTTGGCCCATCCGTTCCGAGAACTAACAAATAAATTACTACGCGTCCCGGCTTTTGTTACACCAGGACCATAATCAACTTAATTTTTTTAAATACGACCTTAGACATTTTATTACATTTTTTGCTAGTCTTCATGATCCCCAATACTGTACTGCTTCAGCCCGAACCAGATTCAGACGTTTTGTCTCGAAAAATTCACCTTCAGTGTATTCGTTCCAAATTTATCTAAATTTTTTATTTAGATTTCTTTGTTTATTGAATTATCGTATACTGTAAGTGTCGTTAGACCTTGTGAAATCCATCTAGTTATTTAAACTATTACCAATAAGCATTAAAATAAAAAATTATTATTATTTTATTCCCGTGTCCATAGTTATTTCTAGGCTTCCATTTTTTCCTCTTGAATATTCTTCCAAAATGCATATGTTCCAAGATATAAGTAAAAAACTAAGTATTTTTTTAATTTTTTTAAACATTTTTGTAATTTTGAAAATGTTCCGGACCTCGCCCAGATCTAGGGATATACACTTTTGTTATGTGAGCTGCACTGAAGGTATTCCAGCAAAAATTAGTTTGCCCCCTGTTACATCCAAGAAGTAAGGTCTTTAAGTCAAATATATATGTGGCAGAGAAAACAATAACCGTGTAATGGATTGCATATCTTCACTAACTTTAACCGATTTTTTGATTAATAGTTTTGTTCTTAGGGAGTTGTTATTAATATATAAATTTGTTATTGAAAATAGCAAATTTACGAAAAAAAACCTACCCTTATTTGTACGTTTATATAAGAATTCATATAATTAAAAAAATTTTGATTAAATAAATCTCCTAAATTTAATCTTTACGTAAATCAAACATTGTTCACTGAGTTCCACGACTACTTAAAATACATTTCGCATTAAAATTGAGGCACAAATAAATGAAAATGGATAACAATTTCAATGTTGATTTTCTGGTTAACGGCTAATTTGATTCAGACTATTTTATGTAGTAGAATTATAGGTTCATTTTTTTAAATACACTTAGTAAAAGTGAGAAAAAGTGTTTCGCCTGAAATTTGAACCCCTGTAGGATACGCGTTATCTCCGCCGACATGACGGTTCCTGTCTCCAATGTGTTTTTGTTCAAGGTGTCAACTCCTGTCTCAGTAATTGCAGAACGAAGTAAACATGGTCGACAAGAAGTTACTTGGGGAATTAAACATAAGTGGCGTAAATATCAAAAATTCCCTGGATTAATTATGATAATATACTATTTCCTTCATAAATTAAAATCGACGTCAATACGACGGTGAGAAGCACTAAATTCAGGATTTTTTTGTGCAATTGTCGCCGTTGCTAAAGGCACTATCAAAGCAATAAATGCGCTTTGTAGGGAGGGAAGCTGCCCCGCCGATAGTTTTATATAAAATCCATAAAAGCTGCTACTTTAAATTAAAACAAGCAAAGATACTTACCTTGATACCGAAGATATGCTATCAACTCGCAGAACCCACCTACATTTAAAGGTTTTACGATCTAAAATTTATCGACCATAAACCAATTTTATTGGCTAAGTTTTATTATTTAAGTTCTTGTATTTTCATGTCAGCAATTGAAAGCGCTGTTTTTCTTATTACGTTATAAAACATTTTCTTTTTAACCACATGAAAATATTACTCCGCTCTGATCAAGTTATAAATAATAAATTCTGGCATGGCTTTTACTGGCCAACTTCGGAATCCAGCCTGGGCGGAATCTGGATATATTAATTTTAACGACCCTCTTTACGATGGTTTTATAGTGCAAATGCCGAAAGTTAAAATTGAAAAATTTTAGTAGTGGAATCTTAGTTTGGGCTCGACTCTGGAGAGCTTATGCTGGAGTTGCCAGACGCACATAAAAGAAATCCTAGTCCAGGGTATAAAGGGGCATGCAAGAATCGATCAGGAAAATTTATTCTCCGAATAACGACTTAGGGGGGAAAACTGTTTAGTAGAAAGAAGTTTTATTTAAACAGTGAATAAACTAACAAATAAAACAAAGGAGTAATAATAACGGCGGATGTTAAAGTATACTTTTACATACAGGGTGTTTCAATTAAAACTTCCCACCTGAATACTATCGGAATTAAAAAAAAAGATACCTGCTGTCGTTCCTGAAATATTGTGAAAAAGCTGAAAATAGCGATTTTAGAAAATGCCATCTAAAGTCCTTATTTCACAACAGAAAGAGATGAAATTTGGTACTGGAGGATAAAAAGATACGAGGAATCCATTTTCGTCGAAAGAAAATATCTACGGGCACTAGTTCGAGTTATGCAACATTCAATTGTTGTTTTTTTTTCTAGTATATTGGATCTTGACAGTAACAGATAGAGGATAAAATTACGAACACGTCAAAATGTAACACTACTACTTTATTTGAAGAATAACCCATAATATTAAAGAAATTTAACAATTTACTTAGAATATTAATAAAATCTAGTTTTTCTTGACGTAAAACAAAAATCAACAAACATTTTGACAGATTCGAAATTTGCTAGCGATTGCTGTAATTATGGTAAAGTTTTGAATTACAGGGAAGAGGGAGATGTATAAATTACCCATAAAAAATAAAAAACTCTGTAGAAACTGATATAATTATATCCAGAAAGACACTAGCCTCATCAAACAGTATTTTTAAAAGTATATATCGGCCAGGAAATATGGAGTTGGACGTGACTTTTTGTTTCGGCAAGCTGAATTTATCACTATAGATGCTAAATATTATGTACAATAATATAATAATATTATATATAATATTAGTTTCCACAGTCATAAAAATGGAGGGAAGATTGTTTAAAGGGTGGTTAATTGTATAACTTTTACGCTTATAACTTTTTCCGTTCATTTCCACGAGTAAAGTACTTTTGTTTCGTCTTCAAAAGACCTACAAAACTAGCACTTGAGCGTAAAAAAATATTGATTAGATCAAAAGTTATAAACAGTTTATTTATGACTTTCCCAGATGCCAATGCCAATGATGAGCCATGAAAAACGGACCACCCGTATACTACATACGAGTTTTTAAATTTTGGTTTGGATATGATAATAAAATCATCATTTAAAAAATTAAGACAAAATGTCAATGAACGAACATTTCGAAGCATTTCGGGCGTTATCTGACGACAGTCTTCAACAATTCGCCGACGAAGCGCCTCAAGTGAGTTCGGCTGTGTTACATAAATTTTCGACTTACCCCAAAGAAAAGTCTAAGGGTGTTAGATCTGGCGATCTGGGAGGCCACTCAATTGAACCTCTGTGTCATATCCAGTGATTTGGAAAGTTCTGATTAAGAAAATCAAGCACAGCTACGGCGTAATGTGGTGGAGCACCATTCTGCTGAAACCACACATCCTCTTCTGGCAAAGAATTGTCATTTTCCAACACTTCCATAATCATCGGGTAGATATTCATTTCCAGTAGATTCAGGTACATGTTTCCATCCAGATTTCCCCTATAAGATGGTCTCCTAGTATGCCAGCTCAAACGTTCAATTTCCTCGGATGCTGCGTATGAGTTTCATGAAAATACATGGATTTTCATCACTCCACTAGCGGCAAATATGGTGGATGACTCGACCATCCCGTTGAAACGTAGGTACATCGGAAAAGCAGATTGAATACAAAAAATTTAGGTTCCTTAGAGCACGATCACTCATTTCTTCACAGAACTGCCAGCGGCGATCAGGATCGTCTTCATTAATTTCTTGTACCAAATTAATTTTGTGCGGGTAATACTTATGAATGTTTAAGATTCGGTGGCAACTAGGTACAGAAATTCCTGAAGTATTTGCAAGTTTCCTGAGACTCAAATTTGGTTCCACTGCAATGTGACATCTGATTACCATCATTACTCAACCTGTTCACGTTGATGTTTTCTGTTTGCAACCGATCCAGTTTCCGAAAATGTATGCACTAAATCCAGGACGTACTGATGCGAAGTGTTTTTGTCAGGTTGACGATAATTAAAAATATGTGCTGCCTGCCGTGCACAGTCATTATTCTTGTAGAACAAACTAATTATTTCCATTTTATCAGCAATTGTATAAACCATTTTCACGAAGACAAGACGAGACAGTATTGTCTCGTTTGAAGTAAAACAAGTAAAAAAGTTGAAATGATGAATGAACACAACAAAACTTACACCTCTTTAAAAATAAAATAGACGTGTCTCAGGTTTTTTTCGTTTTTTTTTAATTCCGATATTTTCTCGGTGGGAAGTTTTAACTGAAACACCCTGTATAAAAGGTTTGTCAGCAAAATTAAGACGAAGGTTTTTAAAAGTGATAATCTAAGTGTTGTTTTTTATCACAGCAGAACGGTTTGTTAGTTGTATAGGTGTTCAGGGATTTGTATTGGACAAATAAAACAAAATACAGAATTAGTTCTCATAAATTATCTTGTAATTATAAACATAAACAAAAAGCTACAAAAATCATTAGCATCCCATCATTTTACACACAGCCATAATTTTAATGACGAATCGATTAAGAACTCCGATAATGAATTTAATTTATCAAATAAAAACTGATTGGCGAGATGCTATGTATAAAGTCACGCGATAATTCCGTAAACAAAAAGTCAGACAGGGATGATTTAAGTATATACTATAAGTTGCTGCTAAGGTTTCTTAGTTTACTTTTGGTGTTACCACAAAGCAGCTCCAGACATAGGCCTGAATATTTTAAAATTTATTTTGACAACGACAAACCGTGTTAAAGTTTCCCCATTAAAAAAGAAAAATTAAGTGAAAAGTAATCTAACAATATTTTTTTAATTGATTATTTATTGCATGATGAATTAATTCTAAATATATTATTGATTGTTGTTTATTATTGTGTGGGCTTAATCAAGAATTTAATTAATAATTTTAATATGCGCTTAATTTTTAAAATACTGAGTAGGAAGTTTAACTGGAACAAATTCTGTAACTTCATAAACAAAGGTTTGTCGCAAAATTCCTGAAACGTCAATTTTTATTCTCAATGGGGCATATTGCAAAGAGGTTTGTTTATTTTTGTAATTATGTGGGGGGTTTGCAGCAACCCCAACTTTTTTTAAATGGTATGTTGATTAATTTTTTAATTTAAAGCTTTTTCAATTGCAAATACAATACGTATTTTTTTGTTACCTTTAATAAGAAATGTGTCGGAAAAAATAAATTACGGAAATGTTTACTAAATCTACTTTTTAATGCAGAAATTTTCAAAGTGTCCTCCACCTGGTCGCTGGCAATACCCTAATCGATAATAAAAAGCATTACGAATGATTTTTTGTTGAAGTTCGGCTATGTCGTTAGGTTTAGTAGCATAAACCTTGCTTTTTAGATATCACTCAATTTGACTCCTTCTTCAAATTCACCTATTCGGAAACACTTCGTTGAGATAGGTCTGTACGTTTTGAGCAAAATACGGTGGTGCCCCGTCTTCGTTGGTCAAATAAATCGGGATCCAAATTATTGGGGAATAAACCGATAAAGCAGGAACCAGTTCATAGTAGAGCATAGTTAGATATGTTTGTCCACCACATTAAACAACACAAAAGTTTATTACCGAAATTAAATACGTTTTAATGAACATATCACTAAGAATTGTTTGAATACTCCCACCTATCCTGTCTTCCTCTGCTCGAAGTCCAGATAAAAACATCTAAATGTAAGTATTACGTTTTACAGTTTAGTAAAAATTCGCAGTGTTTTCAATGTAATATAATTCTCACACTACGTTCAGTAATAATCTAATAATTGACATAAGTTTAATATAATTTTTGCTAAAAAGAAACATGGTGTACTAGATATACGAGTATTATTTTATAAATATATAATTCAAATTCGAAATACAGACTTTTCTATAGCAGTTGACACATTGTACTAATTTTAAATTAAACAAACAATTCAAAATGTCTCCCTTGCATGAAACATAAAGGCACCTTCTGAAACTTGAAACTGTAAATTCATTAGATTCTATAATTACAGTTGCTCAGTCTTACAGAATACTACAAAATCCAAAAATTATAACCTAAACATTATTGCAGCATCCATCTATGAATCTGCAACTAAACTATCAGGTATAAAACTGCAACGGACTAAATACCATTCTACTTGAAAAGTGCATCGCCTATTTCAGCTATGTGGTCCAAAATGAAATCAACGTCCTTCCTATTCAACGAAGAATTCTGCGAGACGAACCTGAAAAAGTTAGGGAATTGTTTCAGGGGTTGGTAACCCAACATTACAGAACCGTGTTTGACCATGACGGCCCTGATCTGTGGCGCCACCTGCAAGAAAGGAATACGAATTACGTTTGAGAAGCTTATGGAAGCAGCAGAGAGTACTGCAATGAACTGAAGGGGCAGCGTATGTTTTTCAGCAACACTGAAAGGTGTCTAGAGAGACTGGGGTATTGATTTACTGGCATTGAGTGATTGCTAAATGTACAGGGTGCTCTGGTGTTCAAGGAAAGTACATTAATAGATTTAGGAGAACAATCCTTACTGGATTTATTTCAAGAACTAATTGACATAGTAAATAATGCTTTACTTATGCATTGTGTCCACAATTAAAAAATACATAAAATATATTACAACAGTATACGATTAAAATAAAAATACATAATAATATATTCCTATACCTTTTTAATAAAATATGTAGTGACGATTAGTAGACATGATAAATATAAAACTTGTTTCGATCACTGTCAGTATCACCACCTGTGTTAATCTCTCTCTCTTCTATTCATAATATGAATGTATCTCTGGGTAAAGTATAGCAACTGCACTTAACAAAAGGCAAATAATAAAATTAACTATACTGAATATTACTGTTAGGTTTTGCTGTTTAGTTGTCGATATTCGGAAATTAAAAGGAATAAAATAACCAAAATCTATGCTTATATGGCCTGACTAATTGTGTTTTGGAAATAATACTTTAGAAAACGACTTTAAAAGTATTTAGTTTTTATTATTTTATGTACGTTGATCAGACAGAAGCTGGTAATTCAATTTTTCTGAAACAATTATATAGCCAATTGTCAGAGTTGCCAGTTGACGTATTATTCTATATTTTTAACGGTCTGGGTAAACAAAGTGAAGGGGTCTGTAAGCAGAGAAATGTCGGTAAGAGAAAATCGATGGCGGGAAGAAATAGGGAGGTAAACAGAGTAAGGAAAACTGGAAAGATAATAAGTACATTTAACATTATACAAATATTCGCTCATATTTACATGAAAATCTCATCAACTTCGAACTTAACGTTGCCAAGAGGAAGGCGGTTATTTAAGGAATAACATTTAAAATGTTGCGTAAATCGGGTAACAGTGTGTTTACCCGAAGTTTGAGGCTTTTTGTACAAATTAAAAATTTAATATAAATTTGCTGGTATAGTCTTTTTGATCTCAATGGAAGACCAACGAGCTAGGCAGTATGTACCAAGTTCGGTCGCTACGCAGCAACTCGGCACTGAAATATTTGAAAAACTTGGTCCTATATTTATTTAGCCATACTCACATACAGGTCTGGTCGAACTAAACGTAGAGGTGGTAGAAATGTATATTCCCAGTTGAGAACGCGCGTGCGGCAAACGGCGCACAAACACAGCCGCACTAGGCGACCGGCCATAAATTTCAGTTGTTGACAAATTGCCTAGCAGTGCAGTGCAGCAATGCGGAATTATTTTATTGTTGATTATTTTTATTTAATAATTTTTCTATCCTAAACTAACAACCTTTCCTCATCCTTTCCTGACAAGGATATGTTCATACCTTCCCGTTGGTTCTTGTCTTGCAGTAATATATTTTAATGAAAGTGTAAATGTTTTTTGATGTCATAACCAAAATTTATCATCAATATAATAAAATTGTTTGAGGGCATAAATAATTAAAATATGTTGTTGGAGAAATGAACATAATAGAAATTTTCTACACATTATATATAAATTATTATTTTTTACCTTAAGTAGAAAACTTTTTTTAGGGACGCCTATGACTCATTAAATTTTATTACTAGGCATTTTTATACATGTTCAACTGACCTCGGGAAGACTATAAAGTAGTTTTACTGTAATTTATTTTGCTATGAAAATTTACTCAGAAATAGAAATGCGCTTTTAGATGCCCTACTTGTAGCATAACTAAATCACAAATTTATCCATCAAACTCCTTCACAGGGTGTTTGAACAGTGGTGTAACAGTAGTGAGAGTTCCTATAACGCTATGCAAAAAACGAAAAATATTCTAAAAATGATAGAAAACATTGTATTTTAATATTTTTTTATCTTTGTCCCTTTAGAAAGAATATGGAGTCCAATTGTAACAAATATTTTTCTTGCAGCTATCAACTTAGAAAATGAGTTTTATTTTATGGTTGTTCCGTCGAAAAATTTAGTTTCCAATAGATTTCAATTTGAAATTCCGTCAGGAATAAACTTGATCCACAGGAATATTCTATTTGCAATTTTTGAACTATGGAAATAATGTCAAGTTAATAATGGAGTTTCATACTATTTGAGCTTCATAATAATACAGGAAGTAAGTTCAAGTGGGGATCAGTTTTTTAGGGGTAATAAATAGTACGTGTTCCACTGAATCTACATTGTAAGCTTTGACAATGAAAAATTAAATTTAGTGAAACAGATTGCATTTGTATAACTTAGCAAGGTGTTATTTTAAAATCATCATATTTTTTGATATAACTTTGATCGAACATTGAAAACCAAACATTCTACCGTTTCTAACAAAAACAAAAATTTTTAAATGATTTATTAAATATTAACTAATATACAGGCTGTCCCGTAATTCCATGTAACTTTTTTCTAGCTGGCTGTGGATCAAAATTAAAATTACGGTGTTGTGTGACTCTATAAATCTAGAAACGTTTGTTGCTTTTTCAATTTTTCCAAAAAATTAATACTTTCTGAGTAAAAAATATTTCTTATCAATCATCACCCTTTCAAACTGGAAACCACAATAAATAAAAACACATAGGGGGCGTGTGCCATTTTAATGTTTAATTGTTGTGGGAGTCTTAATCAGTTCCATAGTTTTCAACTGCTTCACCGGTCTTGTTAAACGAATTGTGCCTAATCTAATAATTACTGTTGTTAATAAGATGCAGAACGTTTTTAGGAATCACGAATATGCAGATATGCATTTGATATATGGAGAACGTAGAGGAAATTCGAATCGTGCTCGGATATTTTACAGGCAAACATTTCCCAATCGCCAAATTCCAAACACTCGGACATTCGCAGAGGTGTACAGACTATTAGTGGAACAAGGATCATTAAAAAAAATTACTAGAAATGCCGGAAGAGGAAATGGAATAACTGTTGAACAAGAACTAGTCATTTTGGATTTGTTTGAAGGAAGTCCTAGCAAAAGCATCAGAGAAGCGTCAATTACGAATATCACGATCGAGTATATCACCAATTTTACAGAAAAATGGATTACATGCATATCATTTCGCAAGAATGTAATAGCTTTTACCAGGAGATTATCTTCTACGAGTAAGATTTTTCAGAAGAATACAACGTGAAATTCAGCGTCAACCTGAATTTGCTGCAAAAATATTGTTTACTGGCGAAGCTTTATTCACAAGGAATTGTGTTTTTATTACCATAATATGCTTCAATGGGCAGATCAAAACCAATATGCTTTAAAGGTTGGACGCTATCAACCCAATTTTGCTGTTAACGTGTGGGTGGGTATTATAGGAGAATATTTAATAGAGCCCTTTATACTGCCAAGACATTTAAATGGACAGCAGTATTTGAACTTTTTAGAGAACCATTTATTTGTATCGATGGAAGATATACCTCTCCAACTATGATGGCATAGCTAGTATATATACACGATGGAGCTCCCGCGCATTATACTTTAGCTGTAAGGCAATGGCTTCATAACAATTTTCCGCAGCGATGGATTGGTCGAGGTTAAGACGCGTCTATTAGTTGGCCACCGAGGCCCCCAGGCCTCAATCCCGTAGACTTTTATCTGTGGGGCCATATGAAGAATGTGGTCTACTCTACAGAAATTAACTCTGTAGAGGAATTGCATAATAGACATAACACACGCCTGATTGTGTTTTTATTTATTATATTAACTTTTGAGAAGTTCTCTAAGTAGATAAACTCTGGCTTTTAACCACACCAAAGGCGTCCCCACGTTTTGGATAACAAGCCGCATAAAATATTTTATTTACCAAAGAACTATTGTACTGAGGCCTACCTTGTGCAGCTGGGCACTGTGCTCCAGAAAATTCACTTTCCCCCGCAGGTACCTCGGCAAATACCAGAAGCAAACATTCATATACTGCCTTTTGGAGACCATCACGAACTCGCACCGGTTATTTACTTGCTCTTCGAAATATTCCGCCAGGTCCATTAGGGCATCGATATGACTTGCAAAACCGGAGGACCCCTGGAATCGAAAAAAGCTTTCAGACCTTATTTTCACAGGGATATTATCGGAAGGTGAGTGGCGCGTATGCGGACAAAACAAATATCACTTTTCTGGAACATTGTTTGAGGCTCGTTTGCCTTCTTGTTAGAGGAAGTTTAGGCTAAAGTCGAGGATGGTTCGGAGACTCGAAGTTATAGTGCCCCCTTGGCCCAATAGGTGAACACCAATTTTAGTTGTTTTGATAATATACAGGGTGATTCAGTCACAATGTCATTAATTTTAAAGGAATGTTCGTGTTTTTGTTGAAGACTGCAAAGTTTTTTGAAAACTGATAAGAGTAAGAAAAGTTTTAGAATTAAATTCCCCATAAGACAAAGTAATAATTTTTTAAGTCAGTCAGTCAGAGATTCTGTCACATTTTAATGGTGCATCATCTCTTATCAACCCTTCAAAATGTTTCAATTGAACTCTACTTACACTCACATCGTGTATTAATTTTGGTTTTTCTTTGGTTTTAAGTTCAAGTATAACTAAGACCTTGATTTTTTCGATATTTGAAACCCCATTTTCAAGGCCTTCTCAGGTGTGCAGCTTAGTATAAAGGTAAGTTGCAGTGCAGCTTAGAATAAAGGTAAGTTGCAGTGCAGCTTAGTATAAAGGTAAGCTGCAGTATAAAGGTAAGTTGCGTTAAATCACCATATTTTGGGTTCTCCTACATGCCCCCCGCTCTGTTCGGTTCTTACGCAAACCACCCTGTATAATTGTTTTTGAGAAAAATCAATGCCTAAACAATAATAACACTCTTCTTCTTCTTTGAAATGGACAGACTTATGACAAATGTCGTTTAAGGCTTTTGTGTCATACATATAAGATGCAACACATTTTAATATCGCTTTAATTCCCAAAAAGCATGAAAACAACCCTTATAGTCTAAGGAACGAAGAGAAAAATAGGGTAAAACCTCCGAATACTTTCGGATAGATCCGATTTTTAAGAAAATTTGGAATTGAGCTTATTTCACCCTAGATGAAAAGTTATACATGCTTGATATGCGCTTCTTATTTTTAGGGGATGAAAACCACCCCTTATGCTAAAAAATTGAATAAATTTAAAAAAGATGTTATATACACTAAAATCATATCTTAATATATAGAATAAACATTGTTTTATATTGTGGGTTATTTTTATAAAGTTTCAACCCTTAAAAACCACCTTTAATGATAAAAATATAAAATTAATAGTTTCTTTGACCTTAGAATATTTTTATAGCGTGTTTATATATTATAGATAGAAGTATTTTCAATAGTTTTTGACATTATAAATAATTTATTACAATATTTCAATCTTTAAAAAACTACCCCTTATAATAAAATATTAAAGAAAAATGGTTTTTAACAGTTTGAAATGATTTGATAGTACAAACAGGATAAGTTCAATTCTTTTACTTGTTTATAATACAATTTATAATTTATAGCATTGTTTAAATTCTCAAAAAACACTCCCAATCACAAATTATTATAATCCAATAAACAATGCAAAATAACATATTTTTTTCATAATTTTCTTTTTCGCGATTTACTTTAATTTATGCAATTTTCAAAATAATTATTTCTCAAAATTTTTTTCATGCAAAAAGTCATCATTTCAAATTTTCAAATATACAGGGTGCGGCATTAGTGCGTCGAAGTACGATATCTCCTTTATCATAGAAGATAGGAAAAAAATTATTTACAAAAATTGTACTTAAAACTGCACATTTTAAAATTTTTGTCATATATACAGGATGTTACATATTACCAGGGTGAACCAAACGTACTATTTTTTAAATGGGACACCCTATATATTATTTCAAATTCACAATCAAAACTTGAGCACATAACTTTCTCAATTATTTTAAATGAATCACCAGGTATTTTATTTTAGAAACTGAAAATACACTTTATGTTCTCTCATTTTTGTAAAGCATTCGCTATAGCCTAAAATCATTAATTTCTGAGATATTTACCATAATAACAAAAATAGAGTTTTTAAAAAATTCCTATTATAACAAGTTGGCCGTGGGCAAATGATAGTGTGACAAATTGTTATTACAAACTATCCGTTGTTAAGACGAAATTATTATAATATTAACTAACTTGTTATACCTAATATGATTTTTTTAAAAACTCTGTTTTTGTTATTAAATAATGGTAAATATCTCAGAAATTAATGATTTTAGGGAATGCTTTAAAAAATGAAAAAAATTATTGTTATGTTGTTCCGTTTAGGATATACAGGACGCTGAAATGGGAATGATTCTCGTATACACTTGACCATAACTTTTGAAATACCCTATATAACAAAATAAAACCCTATATTGAAAGCATGGGAGAGATGAGGTTAATCTAAATTTGAAATAATATATAGGCTGTCCCATTTAAAAAATAGTATGTTTGGTTCACCCTGGCAATACGTAACATCATGCAACATTTTAAAATGTACAGTTTTAAGTTGGCTACAATTGTTGTAAATAACTTTTTTTGATATCTTCTACAGATATCGTATTTCGACGCACCAATGCCGCACCCTGTATATATTATTTTATTATGTATACATATTAATGCTCCAAAGTTGTGGATAACCAAAATATTAATTAATACGATCCAAAAACGATTTTACGGAAAATTTCAACATCTAAAAGTACTCTAAAATTGAATATATTTTAAAGCGTTATTTTTAAGTTTTTTGAGGTTAAAAGGTTTGAAAACATGACCTTCGCCCTCAGATGAAAACTTCTAGCAACGACATCTCTGTTCATTTTTGTCCTACACAAATAAAAAAAACAAAACATTCTGTGAAAAAAAAATCTAAACTTTTATACTCTTGAATATTTTTAGTACCTTTTTTGTTTTTAAAGTTATTTCCAAAAATATGTTTTTTTCTGAAATTAAAAAATACCTTTTTCAATAAAAACGTAATATTTTAAAAAATATGCTTTCTAAACCGCTTAAACTTGTATAATACTAAATTGTTAGCACATAAAAAATGTAAATTGTAGAAGGATTAGGTACCTTTAATTTTAAATCACCTGTACAATTCATAAATTTTTGTACTAATTTCTTTTCCGAAAAAGCGAATTAACAGTTTTATTTTGATCATAACTTCGTTAATTTTTATGCTAACGACTCAAAGTCAATTCCATTTTAAAGATGTTTTAAAATACTTTACAAAATGTCGGTGCATTTTTCTTGAAACATTGATTTTTTTTTAGTTATTTTAAGTTAAATGCCTTCAATTTAGTTCCTGGCGGACATGAAAAAAGTATCTTCAACCAGCCGTATCTCAGCACCTATTGCACCTACATAAATGAAAAATACTAAACCTTTTTCCTTTTCTATAAGCTTCATTTTCTTGTTTATGTTTTTTTTTTCATGGAATGTCTATTCTCCGAGTTATTCGAGAAAAACTACTGAAAAACGTCTTTTTCTTTACAAAAATGTACATTTTCAATCACCAATAACTCAGACAATATTGCTTAAAATTTATTGCTTTATCGATTCCTGGGGTTACTTTCAATATTTTATTTTTCACGCCCCCGGGCAAAAGCGCTCATCGGCACTATATAATTTTTGTTTCTTGAGCTATTTTCTACTTACAGTCCATCACGTCAATCCGTTCGATTCGAAAAAATTCGGAGGGGAAGCCCTTGGTTCCCTGGACTATTTTCAATAGTTTTTTGATACTGAACATGATAAAACAAAGACAATCCCACTTCTGACGCCCGAGGCAAAGATCACCTACCTTGGCTTTCCACATAAACCAAAACTTGAAAACGTCGCACTTCCTCCCACACTGCAAGTACTTGTCCCCCACGTCGTACGCCTTATCGTAGTGCTTATCCTTCTGGAACAGATACTCGGCACCCCTGGAGAAGCATTTGTGCAGGATCCCCTTGTCTCTGACCAGCAGCATCGAGCACTGCTGTGGAACGGCCAGCAACTTGTGCGGGTTAATGACTATGGAGTTCGCCCGTTCTATGCCATTGAGCTTGGAACGGTGTTTTTGCGAGAAAATGAGACCGCCGCCCCACGCCGCGTCTATATGCAGCCACACGCTGTGCTTCTTGCAAACGTCGGCTATTTGGTCGACGGGGTCGAAGGCACCTCTTACCGTCGTCCCTTCAGAGAAAGATTTTTAAAAGTATTTAATATGTTTTTAGATAATATGAACTCGTTTAGGATGTATAAGAGATAGTACAGAGCCATCATAATGATTACAAGCTATGAGATCGTGGAGTATAGGCAACCCACACTGCACAATTGGCGCTATCAACTAAAAATCCCTAAGCCGCAATAGAGTTGTAAGGGAAGTTAAGGATGGCATTAAATAAAATTGTTTTTTAAATTAATTATACTCTGTTTGGAAATGAAAGAGAGTATTAAAACCCCGAGATAAAAACCGGCCATGGGCGTGATAATATTTCGTTTCAGGTAATTATCGGGTAACACTAAACAGGTAATGGGTGTACATTAGTATATTTTACTGGATACATCATAGGGCAGGAGCCAGTGTATTGTGACATATCAATCCACTCTTAGAGCTGAATATACGAAGACGTGCTAGTGCAGTAGAGTAAAATTCGACTTGTGTTTAGTGACTAAAGTACATTCATTTTATTTTAAAAAAGACATACCAACGCTAAACAAAATTTTAAGTGAACTTTCAGAGGACAACGATTTGCCAAAAATCAGTAGAAGCAAATTATGGGCCGTCTTACGAGAGTTGAATTTTTGCTGGAAAAAGCAGAACAGGAAGTCAGTTCTTATCGATAAAGATGAAATTATTTATTGGCGAAGATCCTACTTAAGATCAATTAGAAAATTCCGTGAAGAAGGGAGGAATATTTATTATCTAGACGAAACTTGGATCAACGAGGGATAATATACTGCAACAAAAATATGGCAAGATAAAAATGTAAAAAGTTTTCGACAACCATTTTTGGATGGACTTTCAATAGGGTTCAAGGCACCTTCAGGTAAAGGGCGAAGATTAATAGTGACACATATAGGTAGTGCCAGTGGTTTTATAGATGGCGGTTTACTTTTATTTGAATCTAAAAATACAGGTGACTATCACGAAGACATGAACGCAGATGTTTTCGAAGAGTATTTTACACAGATGTTCGATCTTATTCCTCCGGGGTCTTTAACTGTCATGGATAATGCCAGTTACCACAGCAGACCGAGCGGACGCGTACGACTGCTTGGAGGAAAGCCGATATAATTCAATGGTTATCCGGAAAAAACATTTCTTTTGAAACAAATATGGTGAAAAAGGAACTTTTGACACTTGTCAATCTTAATAAAGATCAGAAAAAATATGTTATCGATGAAATGGCAACAAATCGCCAAATAACGGTACTACGGTTACCACCTTATCACTGTGAACTTAACCCAATCGAATTAGTCTGGGCGCAGGTAAAAGGAGATGTAGCGCGAAATAATACGACGTTTAAATTAAGTGACGTGAAAATTTTGTTAAAAAATTCCTTGGAACGAATAACTGCAGATATCTGGCAAAGATGTATACATCATGTACAAAAAGAAGAGAAGAAAATGTGGGAACTCGATAATTTAATTGACGTTACTGTGGAACCTATCGTTATCAATCTAGGAGAAGAATATTCATCAGAATATTCAGAGGATGAATTTTAATATACCTACTTTTTTATTTTCTTTATTGTACATTTATACAACACTATATTTACTCACCATAATTTGAATTTTCAAAATACATATATTTTTGTGTGGAATAAAAGTCTATTCATTAAATTTAAATAAATATTTTGATAATAATATTGAATAATTTTATTTGAATTACTAAAAACCCTCTCAACCCGGTTATGATGCTTAAAGTAGCCTCATGTTTTGAAATGCTGTTTTTATATTGTTTACTTAGAGAAATGGACCGAGAAATTGAAGCGGCATAGACAAAGACGGATTGTCGGGAATTAAATTTCAGCTACCTGCTACAATTTAGTACAGTCCGATCGCACAAAGTTTTTTTAAAAGTACACCTCATCCTATACCGATAATACATAGTATAAAAATATTGAATATAAGCACCAGTACTACATTTATTTACGATTTGCATACATAATGAGCTTTTATTACTCTCTTCCATTTCTAAACAGACTATAACTTGAACTGAATGTATGAAATTTACGATGAAAACAAGTATGTACATGATGTGGACCCATAATAGCTTTTTTTAATTAGAGTAAAATAAACAAAGACAGTTCAGTTTTTCCTTAAGGATAAAACAGCATTATAAAAAATGTATCCAATGACATAACAATCGACAATTGGTCGTTTCGTGGATTTTCCTTTGCAAATGCAATGTTGGTTTGAAATATTTTGACAATACTATATTTCCGGTTTAAGAAAGTATCGTAGTCAAAGTCTGCGTCTGGAAATTGCGTCATAAATTGCTCATTGCAGGATTAGGAAGAGTGTGTCCATGACCCATCTTCATTTAGAGTTCCACTTCGAAAATGACTACAAGAAAAGTCTTAAGCTCAGATAGCTTGTGTCCAAAACTTGTGTGGGCCTGTTTGTAATTGCTAAATGAACTGAAAAACACCAACACTATCAGGATATGCTGAGTATCAAGGCGTAGAACATTGAAGGAAATAGAAGAGCAGGTGACGGAGGGATCTAAGATGGTTTTCCAGCATTCAACATTCTTTAAGTGTAGCTAATCAGGCTTTAGAGAGATGGGAATAAGAAGAACATTGTGAATGGGATTTCAAGACCAGAGCAGACACAGATGAGGACAATTAAAATGCTGACAACGAATGAGATCGAGTTTAAAGAAATCGCAAGATTTTGTCCACTGAAAAAGCGTATCTATAGCATGAATAGTAGCAAATTTGTTGCAATTGCAAATTAATGAATAAACAGTGAGAGCCTCAACAGGCCAGAATTCTTTAGAGTTATAAAAAAGTGCCATAGCCCGACCAAATCATCTTGTTTCAGCTGCTCATATATTTAAATATATAGGGTGATTCAAAATTCAGTACAAAGAATTTAGGGGCGTATTTTTGAGGTCAAAATATTTTTTTTTCCTATAAACGTGTGCCCACAATTGTTTAGTTTTCGATATATAGGATGTTAAAGTGTTTTTATTTTTTTTGAGTTTTTAAGAATAATTTCCAAACGAATTTGAATGTTGGTATAAAACTTGGGATACAGGGGTTTTTAGGATGCTAAATTTAAATATGTCATTGCCAATGACACTGCTGCATCAAAAACCCCGGTAGGTACTCCAAGTTATATGCCAACATTCAAATTTCAAAATTGGAAATTATTCCTAAAAAATAAAAAAATAAAAAACTTTAATATCCTGTATATCGAAAACTAAGCATTTGTGGACCCAGGAAAAAAGTCTTATTTTATCTTCAAAAATACGCCCCTAAATTCTGTGTACTGAATTTTGAATCACCATGTATAATATAAAACCTCCATTAAACAACTATATTCACCAGACCTATTTACCAGTTAGTAGTATTTAGTACAGAAGTAATTTTTGTACTCGCGGAACAGATGGACATTAAAATTGAGATTAGAGGAGCACTATGGACTCTAATATCATACCAAATGTAGCTACTACCACAAGGGGAACTGCTCCTTCTTCTATTTGCTGCTCTATCTTCGTTTCTAAATCTTCAACGATCATTTCACCCACGTCATTTGTTCGAACGGAAAAAACATTATCTTCTCCTATTCCCAGAAATGATGCGTACTTGTGCAAGGAGTAGTGGCATTCTTCTGATGCGAAGATAGCTAGTCTTGGGATATAATTGGTGCCTTTTTTCTAAAAAATACAGTGTCTCAGTTTTAACCCAGAAAGAAGTATCTATAGGCTACATTCGACCGGAAAAGAACATTTATATCTCCTTAAAATCAAAGCCAAGATGAATATATTTCTGAAATATGTAAATTACACCACGTTTTGAGTTATGAAAAGACTGCAAGAATTTTCAATTAATTATGACTATGCTGTAAGTAAAACCAATTAAACGTCTACATTTTTTTAGCTAACTCAGTTCTCTGTAATAGTCCCTTACCTTAACATCCGGATAACGTTCAAACCTGGCTAAGTTTAGGGCTGTCCCATTACCATAAGATCCTCCGGGGCAAAACAATCCGTCCCCCCACCCCGGCCCTATCATCCGGCAAACCTCCTCCAGTACATGAGTCTCCATAAGGGTGAACACGGGAGCAACGTCGTATGTGTACACGCTGGCATTGAGTGAATCAGTCAGCCACTGACCTGCCAGTCCGTAGGGGTCCAATCTGAGGAAAAATCCTCAGATAATAATCGAATACAAATAGTGGGGTATTAGCTTCGTGGGTTAATGCGGAATTTGTTGAAGGGCCAGCGGCTATTTTCTTAATTTTATCGTGAATGAATGAATTTTAAATTCGCAACTAAACGAATACCTATTAAAGTAACCTACAATATAATAACATGCAATTTATGCACCTGGAAGAATTTAGAATAGTGCCTCCGTGAACGAAAACGTAAATGTTAAAGCATCTTAACTTAAATTTATGACACTGTGTTCAATATTACAAATATTTTATTTTTGGTATAGTCGTAGCATATCACTTTTCTCTTCTATTCTTTCGTCTTCTTCATCCCTATTATTTTCAAAACAACAATTGTTACAGAGCCATCAGTTTCAATAATGAGAAGCACTATATGTTGAGCCTTGCTTTGAAAATGAAATAGACATTGAATGGTTTTTTGATACGATCGAACATACCAGTTGTAGTAGCTGGTACTTCTGTTCCGATTGACCACACCAATTCTTTCCGTAGCTGAAACATTCAACACGAGATAGTCACAGTTTGGAGACTGAAATTCAACGTATCAGCTACTACAGCAATTGACGTGGTCGGTGGGATCAGAAAACCTTTCGATGTTTATCTCAATTTCAAAATAAGAGACTGAGGCTGAGTAGTTCTGATCGTAGTTTCTAGTGAATCATTACCAGTTTTTGACTGCAATGATGCTGTTGATGAACAAACTATAGTATTAATTATTAATTTCGGTGCATTATCGTCTTCCTTTTTCCCCTCGTTTTCATCGTCTTCAATTGTCACTAAATCTCTACTATGTATTTTCGAATGTCATCACTTTCAGTCCTTAGTTCTGTGAACACTGACTGAAACTAAATGATTCTGATGGTAGCTTATTTCAAACATTTCGTTTGCTATAGTATTGCCACTGTGGAATTTGTGGAACAAACGTCATTTCCCACCTTTCTCTTTCCATCTTCATCATCATAAATTAGTTCTAAATCTCCACTTGCTTCAAAGTCATCACATAATGCAGGATGTTCAGTTAAAAATATATTATAGTTGATGGGAAGGTCTTTTAAATTTTCGATGGTGATTGCACGCCTGATTGTTTTTAATGTTGTTAACATGAAATGCTGTTTGTGTGGTTCTCCTTGTTGTTGTGAACAACAAGGTGTGGTTCTGTTAATCTTTATTATATTTTTTTTTGTGTTATCGTATGGGTTCTTCGAAACGTTTGGTACTGTATATTGATATTTTTCCAATAGGGATTTCGATTCTGCCGATGTTGTAGGTTCTGCTATAGACGTACGTGCTAATTTATCTGCTTTTTCCTACATACATGATATGTATGATATGATAATTATTGATTGCATAGAAATTGCTATTAACAGCATTTAATCTCACCACTGATCCTTCTGTTAGATTCCAGGTTGATGGAAACGAATAAAAAAAGAGGAGGAAAATAAAGTTAGAAAGAAGTACTGGTAAGATTAATTAAGTTGAATAAATTAATGACAATTACACATGAAACATTGTGTAAAAAAAATGCAAGAGGATTTTTTTTCTTATTAAAAAATCAGTTTTTTCGCCACACTTTCTCCAATTGATATTGAATTGTTTTTGTGAGTGCATAACCTGATTTTGCAGAACGTTTTACATATGTCTACATTTTATTCCCTAAAGGCATATATTGCAACAAAAAGAAAAGTACGGTTCACCCTATACAAAATATGATTTTACATTTAAATACATCATATAAATGGAAATATGGTTCATTTTATTCATGATGAGATTTATGTAAAAAAACGCCAGAAATTGGAATGCCACTTAATTTTTTATGGTAAAACTTTTATAGGAATACGAGCTGATCGGAATGCAAAATCAACTGGGAAATTGATAGTCATCCCAATATTATTCAAAACATGTAAAAACTTCGTAAAGTTTGGCGGAACCGATTTTTTAAATTCTTGTGTATATTGTAAATTCGAGGACTTATTATTTATGTCGGGTCCATAACCATTGATTTAAATAATAAATCTATTCATTTTTCTATATGGTTATTTTAAAAAGGCCTTTACAGGGATTTTACAAGATATTTGAAGAGTAAAAAAATAGAGTGAAAACTGAATTGGCAGAAATAATTTTTGCAAATAAAATATATTTTTTTAAAACACCTACTGACTTGCTATATTAGTAATACCAAAAAACGTTTTTGGGACCGTGAGAAGGGTTTACAAGTCTTTACACAACGTTTGTAGCACCTCAGACAGACTGTTGTTTTTGAAAAAAAGGGCAATTAAAAGAATCCAGAAATTCTCAATAAGTTTTAACAGTTTTGATTGCTATTCATTTTAATCACCAAAAAACTTATTAGTACATTCTTCCTACAATGAAAATAATACTTCAAAAATCTTTTATACTATTTATGTCGTGGAATAATTAGAAATTATATTTAAATGTTGTATAGAAAACAATATACATAATGTCTTCCTACTGGTTTATTTTGGCAAAGAGAACAGAAAAGTTTAAAGTAAATGAAAGAAACTCCGCAAGAAAACTGTTCATTTCTGTACAACTAGTTATATAGTTCCAGCCGAGCTTTAACGCAAACTTCTTATGACTATTTCAGTTGTGGATACATTGATACAATGTACCAACATCTTAAAAGAACTGTGTTTTATACATACTTCCCAGAACTGAGCTTAGTTCCAAGACATTACTAAAAGTTTTTATCGTAATAGCAGACAACTCCGTCATAGACATTTCTATCTCTGTACTTACCCGGAATAGAGCTGATTTATAAAATAGGGATGACCGGTCTTAACACTGAACTTAATGCTGTTCCTCAACAGACTTATTAGTTTCTCCTGCGATTCCCCATACTGGTTTAGGCCGAAATCGAACTGTTCCTCCAGCTGTTCGGGGGTTTGCCAGAGCAGGACCTTGTCTTGCCGTGTAGTGAAGACTATGTTCTTGAACAAAAGTTCCACGACGTCCTTCAAGAATTCGCCATGTTTTTCTACTTCGGCAACGGGAAAGAAGTCGCTCATTATGCACAATGCTGCAATGCACTAGGTGGAACCAAACTGACGGCAGTTCGCTTTATAATCTTTTTATATTCCAACGGCAATTTTATTATTAGGAGTTTCCTAATTAAATTAATTACTTTAACGATGCAACGCAATAATGGTGAATTTTATGGGGCCCAAATCTAATTCAGTTCGGATCCGCTATATCTAACTGTATAAAGGTAGGTAAATGTAGAAGGACATAGGCGTCGCCAGGGGGTTTAGGAAGACTAATTTTTTTCTGGATAGAAGTCAAATTTTGTTGCATTTACTTTTGATGCACATTTTTGTTGTTTATTTACCTTCTTTTTTAAATACAAGGTGCGATGTGTATAATCTATAAAAATTAAACTACAGCTTCCTGATGATATTTGTAATAGATTTTTTTGTAAATTAAAGTTCATTTATTCAACTTTAGAAATGTTTTTATGCGACCCGAGATGCAACCTTATAATTTAAGTCGGTATGATCTAATACTAGTAATACTAAAAGAACGTTAGGTTCCGAACGTGTCGATATGGTGTTACTGAATGGTGCAGCCGGAGAAAATGCGCGCGCGGCGACTAGGTTGTACCGGGAACGGTGGCCACAACACGCAACGTCACCCCCCATGTGCAAATACAATCCTACAGTGCGTTCAGCGACTGAGAGATACAGAAAGTATTATTCCTCGAGGAGAATGACGTGGTCAGAAAGTGAACCTTAATGTTGAAGATGCAGTGTTGGAAAATCTTGACGAAGATCCCACAATTAGTACTCGACGACTCATACAACAAGTAGGAACCTCATTTCGTATCGTACATCGCATATTAAGGCGCCAGCTGTTCCACCCCTATCATCTGCAACCAGTTCAACAAATTTTACCTCCGGATTGTGATCAACGAATGCGTTGTAATTTTTACGGCAATGTGCCAATCAAGTAGATTTCCCTGCTTATGTTTATGTAACAGATGAGGCGACATTTACCCATGATGAACTGAATTTCCATAATATGCACATATGGGCCGATGAAAATCCTCACGCGATTAGGGAAACTCATTTTTAATATCGGTTATCGGTAAAAGTTTGGGCTGGCATAATAGGCGATGTACTTGTGGGTCCCTATTTCTTTGAAGGACGACTAAATGGACCAACATATGCTGACTTTTTAGAGAACCGGTTCCCTGAAGTATTGGACGATGTGACATTACAAGTTCTCCCACACATGCTTTATCTTCAAAATGGGGCTCCTCCACACAGTAGTTGAGAAGTAACGACATTTTTGAATGAAATGTTTCCTCAGCGATGGATTGGACGCTTTGGTCCTGTGCCGTGGCCACCTCCGTCACCATATCTAACTCCAATTGACTTTTATCTTTGAAGTCACTTGAAGTCATTGGTTTACAATACTCCAAATGCTACTGTGGAAGAATTGTGAAACCGTATACTTGCAGCTGCTGACACAATTAGGGAAATACCTGGAATTTGGCAACATATTCGCCAAAATTGTGTACGTCGGTGTCATGCCTGTATCCGCGCTAATGGGGATTAATTTGAACATTTTCTCTAGAACTGAACTAATTTTTTCACAAGTGGCAGAATAAAACAAATATAGAAACACTAAAACGTGACCTTTTCGCATTTTTCAATTTTAAATGCCCTGTTAAAAATATTTCTAACTACGCCTAATAGACACTTAAATACCAGTAAATTTATTATTTTTTTAACAAATATGCTCTTTCATAAACAGATTACTGAAATAATCTTTAGTAAAATCTAATATACCTAAAGGTAACGTTTCCCAGTAAGTAAGGTTAAAATTTATAACAATCATGCCCTTGAACAAAAAAAAAAATTCTTTTTTTTTCGCTGTGTGTTTTAAGAATTAAAATTAAAACTTTTCCTTCTCTCGCTACCATGTAATTTACCTTGAGTTGAAAACAAAAGAATGTTTCAAGTCACAGCACACATAGTATCGATTCCACAATGCCTGTAGAGTTTGCTTGTCGCCTCACTATGTTTTCAGACTTAGTTGGCTCTGATTGTGTTTGCTGTTGCTTGTTTTCGATCCGGTGAAAAGAAAATTTTCTGTTCGTTTAGCTGAACAACAGTTTATAAAAACAAACCGCTGTGATTGAAAAGACACGTAATTATTGTCATTAATTTAAAGGCCATAGCGTTGTGTTTTATTGTTATTTCAACAAGTTGCTTTTATAACTTTCAACTTATGCTTATTTTCATGTATTTGTTTTTTATTTATAGACCATCTGGTAACAGCACAAACAATGCAGGAAGTGTAATTGTTCTAGACAATTCTACCTACTGCAACATAATTTATAAAGTAGGTATATTTATTCGTTTGCAAAATGCTAAAAGGTAGCCAGTTCATGTATATTGAATTGTATTTTGGTCCCTTTGTGTGTTACTATATTGTTTCAACATAATTATCCATATCAAACATTATAACAGACTGAAGCGGTATCAGAATTATATCTTTTCATAACAAAAACAGATACAGCCTTTGTTATTTTAATAATATAGGTAAATATGTGTTCTTACTGTTGGTTTGAAGCTAGTTACTGTTTCTCTCCATTTTTTTGAAAAAACGGTTAATTTTAGGAATAGGGAAACTTCATAAAAGTCCATCCAAAATTGCAATAATATATAGGGTGTTCCATTTAAAATAAACAAGTTGATGGCGACTTCCGGTATAACCGAAAGTAGTACGTAATCGCCATTAATTTAGTTGAGACGGGCTTGTCCGAATACCCGATATCCCAAATTTTCAAAATTCAAATGGGAGTAGTCTCTGAAATAATTCTAATGGTCTGTCACCGTGAAACACCCTGTATTTATGTTGTGTATAAGTTTTTTATATTGGTATCTTTATTTTTTTTTCATAACTTAATGGAAAATTGTTGGAAATGTCTCATTATTAGTCAAATTTATAAATGTTCATCTGAAGTAGCGGTTTTCAAACTTTTATGACTTGCGGAACCCGGCTAACATTTCGATTTTAAGGAACCCCAAACCTAAAAAAAAAAATTCGTACACATTATTTACTGATTATACAGGGTGGGCCACCAGTAACGCCTCGGTCGTTAGTGACCAAACGGCAAATGTTACAGAAACCTGTATAGGTGGTTATGTGTAGGTTGATTACGGCTACATTTTAAAAATATTTTGAAATATACAGGGTGTCCAGGAAAAGCGTACCATATCAAAGTTATGTTTTTTTAAATGGAACACCCTGTATTTTACTGCATTTTTGAAAGCACCGTAAAAAAATAGGTGAACTTTATTAAAGGTTCTGCATACCTAGGACTTACAGTTTGTGAGATATTTCAATTTTAGTGAAAATGCAGGCATAGCGTAGAAATTTAATATTAGCAATAAAAAAATAATTTTAAGGAAGCAGCTTTGGAGGGTCTATTTTAGATCCTTGAAGTTATAAATTGTTATATTTGTCGTCACTTAGTATTATACAGGGTGTTCAAAAAACTGCTGAATACTTCTCTCAACTTTAAACAGCAATAACTTGGTTATTTTAAATGGAACACCCAGTATATTTTTACTTTGGGAGTTGGGAAATTTAAAACTCTTTCAAACTGTGTATAGGTTCCCTATACCTATCTCTAACGGTATTGGAGATATTTGTGCCGTTTCGTTTTTTATCGATTTTTTTTGTAAGATGTATCCACGTGTCTTTATCGAGGTCTTTACTGAATTGGTTTGGGTTCTTCTTGATGACGTCTCTTTAAATATATTGAGAAAAATGAGGATGCAATTAGATGGCGCACCTGCAAATTTTTCATATTCAGTGAGAAATTATTTAAATCGAAAATTTAGTAATAAATGGATAAGTAGGAATGGTGCATGTCAGTGGCCACGTAGGTGTCCAGACCTCACCGTAATGGACTTCTTTGTTGCGAGCTATATAAAAAATCTTGTATACAATGTTCCACCTATTACTTGCGATGATATTGGAGGGAAGGATTAGAGATGCATTTGCGTGAGAATATCATTTGAAGATAGAATAAGATGCTGTATTCAGGAGAATGGTTATCAATTCGAACATCAATTAAAATTTTTCTTTGTTTTTTCTAAAAGTAGAAGTTCCTTTTATCATTATCATGAAAATATTCAAAAAAGTTTTCTAATAAAAAATATTATTTTATAAGCAGAATAATTATAAAAAGTTATTAATTTTGTATAAATATGTTTGTAGTAAGTAACTGAATTATTTATGAACATGAAAAATATTTATTAAAGAAAATTTTACTTTTAGAAGAAACAAAGAAAAATTTTAATAGATGTTCGAATTGATAACCATTCTCTTGAATACAGCATCTTATTCTATCTTCAAATGATATTCTCACATTCCTTAGAATATTTGGGGTGATTGTGGCAAATGCATATCTAATCCTTTCCTTCATATCATCGCAAGTAGTAGGTGGAACACTGTGTACAAGATATATTTTTATACAGCCCGAAACAAAGAAGTCCATTACGAGAGGTTTGGACACCTGTGGTAGCCACTGACATGGACCATTCTTACCTACTCATTTATTACTTAATTATCGATTTATATAATTTCTCACTGAATATGAAAAATGTGCAGGTGCGCCATCTATTTGCATTCACATTTTTCTCCTTATATTTAAAGAGACGTCATCAAGAAGAACCCAAACCAATTCAGTAAAGACCTCGATAAAGACACGTGGATACATCTTACAAAAAAAATCGATAAAAAACGAAACGGCACAAATATCTCCAATACCGTTAGAGATAGGTATAGGGAACCTATACACAGTTTGAAAGAGTTTTAAATTTCCCAACTCCCAAAGTAAAAATATACTGGGTGTTCCATTTAAAATAACCAAGTTATTGCTGTTTAAAGTTGAGAGAAGTATTCAGCAGTTTTTTGAACACCCTGTATAATACTAAGTGACGACAAATATAACAATTTATAACTTCAAGGATCTAAAATAGACCCTCCAAAG